TTTGTTCACTAAATGTCAGCACGGTGGTGGATGGAGCCCAGTGAGGAGAAGCAGGGTAAACATTAAGTATATGTGTCTTGAAGCCACAAGTCTGTGTTTCTTTCCTCTTTCCCCCTCTGCATCATTTGAGTCTCTGACATGAGCCTTCATCCCTGGTATTTTCAGATTTCTGTACTGGACTGGGTGTCCACATTGGCCCTTCAGGAGTTGGCAGTGCCCAGAGCTGCCTGATTGCCTCCCCCTCCATGCAGAAGCTGGGGAGCCCTAACTGAAAACCCAACGTCCAGAGTCCTCGCCTGTCACCGCTGTCCTGCTCCCTCGCCGTCCTCCGACGGTCACAGCTTCCTCCTGTGGATCTCTCCTGTCTTCTAGGCATCTTTCTTTTTTATTTTTTAAAAATTAAGCCGGGCACTGGTGGCTCACGCCTGTAATCCTAGCTACTCAGGAGGCTGAGATCTGAGGATCATGGGTCAAAGCCAGCCCGGGCAGGAATGTCTATCTGTGAGACTCTTATCTCCAGTAAACCACCAGAAACCTGGAAGTGGCACTGTGGCTTCAATGGTAGAGTGCTAGCCTTGAGCTAATGAGCTGAGGGACAGTGCCCAGGCCCAGAGTTAAGCCCCATGACTGACAAATTATGATAAGGTTATGTATGGAGGAGTTACATAAGTCAGGTAATGAGTACATTACTTTTGGGACAATGTCACCCCTTCCCTCATTCACAGTTTTTCCTCCCACCCTCCACCCACAAGTTGTATAGTTCATTTTCAACATAGCACCTAGTAAGTACCACTGCTGCATTTGTTCACCCTTTGTCCCTCCATTTCTGTGCCTCCCTCTACCCTCCCAGAGACAGATAAATGACAAAAAAAAGATAAAAAATAACAAAACCTCAATTCCATTTCCTGGAGTTCATTTTGATATTTTTTTATATGATCATAGGCTCCTTTGTGTTCCTCCCCTAAGAATATCCTCCTTTGGTCTCACTGTATGAATGTCTAGAGTCCTGTGTAATTTATCATGTTCCAAGATATTTTAGGTCTAGTGGCTTTATATGAGAGAAAACGTGAGCTAGTTTTTTTGAGTTTGGCTCACCTCATTTAACATGTTTGTTCTAGATCCATCCATTTCCCTGCAAATGACATACTGTTCTTTGTAATGGCTGTGTAAATTCCATTGTGTATACGTACAACATTTTTTGGATTCACTCATCTATTATAGGGCATCAAGCTGTTTGCATAACTTGGCTATTGTGAATAGTGCAGCAGTGAACATGTACGTACAAGTGTCTTTACAGTATCCTGGCTTGTGATGTGGGTAGATGCCCAGGAGTGGTATGGCTGGATTGTAGGGAACCTCCAGACTGCTGTCCAGAGTGGTTATTGTACAAGTTTACATTCCCACCGATCGTGCAAGAGGGCTCCTTCCCCCCCACGTCCCCACCATTTGTCTGAATTAGTCTTTCCTATACTGCTCGTGTAGTTTGTGTTCTGTCATATATCAAAATATTTAAGGATAGGAAAATTACAAAGCAAAGACATTTGTGTAGCTTGTAGTTTTGGAAGCCAAAAACCCAAAGGACACAGTGTGCATTCTGGTGAGGCTCCCTGAAAGCATCAAGGTGAGACTGGTACCCCAGCAACAGTGTGCGTGTGAAGGAGTGGTCACAGAGGAACCAGAAGCTGGAGCACCAGGGAGGGAGGAGGCAGCTTCTCACCTCCCACTAGGCTCCACCTCTTGAACTCTGGGCCTGGGCGCTGTCCCTCAGCTCTTCAGCTCAAGGCGAGTGTTCTACTACTTTAGCTACAGCGCCACTTCTGGTTTTCTGGTGGTTTATTGGAGACAGACATTCTTGCTAGGGCTGGCTTTGAACCGAGATCCTCAGATCTCAGCCTCCTGAATAGCAAGGATTACAGGTGTGAGCGCCTGGCATGGCTCCACCTCTTAAAGGTCCCACCACCTCACAACTTGGCCACACTGAGGACCAAGTTTCCAGAACACATGTCATAAACCACAGCTCCGCTACCCACTACATGCTCCACTCTGCTCCTCCTCACTTGCTCACTAAACTGTGACACTGGTCTTTGATTGGAGGTATTACAAGCATCCTCTACTATGTCTTTTCTCCAATCCCAAATAATTCAGAATCCTGCAGTCAGATTATAGTTGTGAACCCCAAATGCAAATTTTCTCCATTCTTTATCTTTGACTCTGGGAGTGACAAAGACCTTTGGCAAAATGCTCAGTGAACAACACCATGGCAGGTAAAAAGTACAGATGACAGAATCAGTGTCCCAGCTGTGGGCACTTAAGAGACAAGACTGTTGTAGGACCTGGCCTATGAGCTCTGCTCCCTGTAGCAGAAGTTTTGGATAATAAGAAGGCTTTAGTTTCCTAGTAAGTCTGCTGCAGTGGAGATCTGAGAGATGAGCACCAAAAGGCTATAATTTTTGGAGAATAAGCTTTAAGCAGAAACCATGTTATATTTTGTACTTTCCTATCAGATGATGCCATAGGTTTTCTGGATTGGTGACTACAGGAGAGATGGGTAGGCCTGGGGATGTAGCTTAGTGATAGAATGCTTGTTTAGCATGCGCACGGCCTCAGGTTCCATCCCCTGATCTGGGTGGTGGAGGGGTTGGTGTCTCTTCTGAAGACACCAGTCCTTTGGATAAGGGCCCTATACATGTAACCCCCTTCCTCAAAGGCTTATCTCCAAATATAGTCACTGGGGGTAAGTGCTTTTGCTACAGGACAATAAACATGAAGCCCTGATTTCTTCCATAAATGCACTTAGGGGCAGACAAACACATAACTCCATAGGTACCATTAAGGGGAATTAAGCCTGATACAGGTGGCTCATGCCTGTAATCCTAGCTACTCTGGAGGCTGAGATCAAGGATTGTGGTCCAAAGCCAGCCCAGGCAGGAAATTCCATGAGACTCATCTCCAGTTAATCACTAGAAAACCAAAAGTAGTGCTGTGGTGCAAAGTGGTAGAGCCTTGAGCAAAATAGCTCAGGGATTGCACCCAGGCCCTGAGTTCAACCCATGACTAATACCCCTCCCCCCCAAAGGAATTTTATTTTGCTGAGCAAACTAAATAGCTTATCAGGATATGACATCCATTAATCTGGCAGGTGGAATATGTATCAGTAGTTTTTGATGGTCACAAGGTAGGGAATTAGGTAGGGTCTTGGAGTGGTCCTTAAGCAAGGTCTATGGGCTGTCTCATAAGTGGCTACTGAAACCATAGTCTTTGTTCTATCTGCCTGCCATAATTTCACACATTGATTTAGGGGACACAATTCAGGCCATACAATGAGGAGTCCATCAAAAGTACCCCATGAAATAAATGCTCAGAACTTACCATCTACCCCTACCCCCTTTACTCCATGCCTTCTATTCTCTATCACACTGACCTTTAAATAGAGGACAGAAGACTCACTGAGTGTGACATTGTGCATATCATGGACAGCCTGAGCCCAGAGGATGTGCAGCATGAGAGGTGTTCATGGTTGAGGCTAAGTTGTCCAGGTAACCCCAGTTACCTGGGACTTAACCTGTCTGCTTTTTGTTCTTTCACTCCTGCCCTCTTAGATAGTGCTACCCTCAGTTAGTGTGCACCTTCTCCCTCAGTTCACTGACCGAAATGCCAGTCATCTCTGGTAAAACTCTGTGAGGCACACACATAATTACTCTTACCAAGTCTCCAGGTGCATCTCCAACCAGTCAAGATGACAACTCAGATGAACGGTCACAGGCCTTAATGACATCCTGCTCATGGATGACCTGCTGTCTCCTTTCCTCCCAGAGATGGATGCCTTCGGTTGCTAGTGCCTCTGGAGGTCATAAATGGTGTATTGACCAGTTCCCCAGGGTGGCCTGAAGGTGCTAGAGTCTGAGGAAAATGACGGGGAGACAGGAAGGTGATGGACGACCCACCCAATCATTACACACTGGGAGAGGATTCACAAGGAAGGCAAGTGGGGTACATGGTGCCCAGCTGAGCAAATCAACATAGCTATGTGTCAGGGTTTAGATGAAGCTTAACCTGACTTTGGCCATCTTTTCTTCTTCTTTGTTCTAGTCCCTCAGGCTTGAACTCAGAGCCTAGTCACTGTCCATGAACACTGGACCACTGAGCCATAGCTCCACTTTTGACTTTTGTTTTTTTGAAGCTTAATTGGATATAAAAGTCTCTACAGGCTTAACTGTGCAGGCTGGCTTGAAACCATGATCCTCAGCTCTCAGCCTCCTGAGTAACTAGTATTACAGGTGTGAGCCATCAAGACCCAGCAACTGTGGCCTAGTGGTCGGTCATGGGGCTTGAACTCTGGGCCTAGGCTCTGTCTCTCAGCTCTTCAGCTCAAGGCTAGTGCTCTACCACTTGAGCCACAGTGCCACTTCCAGTTTTCTGGTGCTTTATTGGAAATAAGATTTTCATGGACTTTTCCTGCCCGGGCTGGCTTTGAACCACAATCCTCAGATTTCAGCTTTCTGAGTAGTTAGTATTACAAGTGTGAGCCACCGGCACCCAGCTAACTGTGGCCATCTTCATCATAACTTCTGTGATTGCCCAAGAGCCTGCCTTGTTTTCCCTGCTTATTTTTCCAGTTCTCTGTAGATGAACAACACACCATCAAACAGACCATGCTGGACCAGCAGGATGGGACCCCTTACGTTCACAGCGGTGATCATCTTCAGCTGTCACTGTTTGACCGAGAAGGTGAATCTGAGTGGGTCTGTGTGGGTCGTGCAATCTTTGAGTAGATGCTGGTCTCCTCCTTGTCATCCCTGAGAGTCAGTCCTAAGGGACTTGGTCAGGTGTGGAAAAGAAGAGGGAGAAGCAGGGTAGGAGGGGAAAGGGCCAGGAGGAGAAGGATGCTGAGCCTCTGCCTTCCACCAGGTGCTGCTGCTCTCCTCTAGAACCTTCCAAAGCAGTTCCAGAGCTGCTTTTCCATGGATTAGGATCCCCTAGTCAGGAAACCAATATGGCCCATGGATCAGAAGACTTTGGTCAAGATCCACTATGGAGCTGCAGACATGCTGGGTGCCTTTTCTGTGGCGTTGCATGGTGAGCTGAGCTGCTCTATAGCTGATCTGTAGGCCCTCTGGAAGGATGGTCTCTGCTGGCATTCCTGGAGTCACCGACCTCTACTGCCCTCCCTTGTGTGGAGTCTACAGCCCCATCCTGGCTGATGCGCCCTGAGACTGTGGACTGTGGTCAGGTGTCTCAGAGCTCCTCTTCCAGTGATTCTGCTTTCTGAACACCAGGTCCTCATCCTGGCAGGCAGGGTCACATTGATGGTTCTGCGTCACACTGTAAGTGTTCAGATTGACCAGCCAAAAGAGGGAAGAATTAGGAGGAAGGGAGTGTACAAAAGAAATCAGGAACAAGACTAAACCAAGAGCTTTCCTCTTTGGTGTCGAATGTCAGCAGGGCAAACTGGTTTGAGTCTCCTGACTCTCCTCTCTCCTCAGTTTCTCCAACTGAAAAATCATTGCTCACATTCCACCAGTGTGTGCCCTATTTGATATGAGTTTGTGAACCAGGAAATGTATTTGGATCTTTAGGAAGTGATTGATTATACAACCCCAAGAAATGGAGAAGTGTATGTGCATTGCAGATTGTAGCATGTGGGCACTGTGTGGTCACCCACTGTCCCTACCTCAAAAACCAGGTGGTGCCCATGAAGCCCTCTGCACATCTGTCCTCTTGGAAGGGACACCTGGGTTTCTGGGGTCCAGTCCCACTTGGAGCCCTTTCTGTGCTGTAGGTGGACGGCAATTCAGCTATGTGACTTATCACCATGGCACTGAAGCCTGTAGTAGACTTTGTCCCCTTCCCTGGAGGTGCCATGGAGGGCTTCTGAGAGGAAGTTTCAGGCTGCATGGTAGAACATTCATCCACAGCACCATCATGAACCTGAAGTATGCACCCAGGCTATGGGAGACTGGGCTGCTGCTGCTGGTGGGGAGGTGGGTGAAGTAGATTTTCCCCAGGGGAAGGGTGACAGGGGCTTCAAGTCTAGGAGCTGTGGGAGTGATCTGTAGAGGGCCCCGTGGTCTGTTGGTGGGTGCAAGATCAGACATCTCCCAACCCACATGGGTTGGGCTGAAGCACCTGAAATGTCAGGTCAAGGTCCTACCTGATTAGGGAGGAGGGCGGGGGCTGAGGGTGGAGCCAATTAACACTACTATTTGTTGTGCTGGTTTCCTTAGTACTCAGTACTCAGGCTTTCGATTTCCAGTTCCTGAGCATCGCTGACCTGGAGGAGGCCTTTGGTCCTAACTCAGGCGCACAGCGGAGGACTGGCTGCACACAGCCTAGGACGGCAAGTCACATCCACACTCAGCTTGGGAAAGATCCGGTGGTAAGTTGGGGATGGTGTAACTCACCCGTCTCTTCAGTCTCTTAAGGCTTCTAGAAGAGAAGGGTCATTGTCCCATTTTATGGAAGAGCTTAGAGAGATTAGGCAATCAGCAAAAACAGGCCTGAATTGCACCCAGGTTGGTTTCTTATTTCTGTCTTCCTGTTCCAGATGTCTTCTCAGGTCTTCCCTCTGTACCTAGAAAGGCAAGGGAAACTGGGTCACAGAAGGCCCCAGGAAGCAGCTCAGGGGCAGGGCCAGGTGACCCCAGAGGAAGCGGGGGAGGTTGCTGTCCCACCATGGGGGAATGAAGGATGTGAGGGAAGGCACAAGCCCTAGAACCCAACAGTCCTTTGGCCTGGTGCTGCTGCTGAGTCCTGATCGGGGCAAAGTAGTACTTTTAAGATCTAAGGAGGGCTGGGAAGGTGGCTCAGTGGTAGAGCGCTTGCCTTGCATGCCTGAGGCCCTGGGTTCGATTCCTCAGCACCACATAAGCAAAAAGAAAAAAAGCCAGAAGTGGTGCTGTGTCTCAAGTGGTAGAGCGCTAGCCTTGAGCTGAAGAGCTGAGGGACAGCGCCCAGGCCCAGAATTCAGGCCCAACGACTGGACGCCCCCCCTCTCACCCCCCCAAAAAAAGAGCTAAGGAACCCAGAGGTTCTCATCCAACCAGGCTGAGCACCTGCTTGGTGCCAGGCCCTGTGGAAAAACCAAGGCCTTAGGAAGGGGGTGAGCTGCTGGTGTCCTAGGATCTCAGCAGATAGTGGGCAGACCTGAGCCCCCTGTCCACCTCTGGCGTCTGCTGAGCCTATGGGAGATGAAGGAACAAGACAGGGGCTATCCTGTAGGCCCAGATGGGAAGGTGACCTGGTCTGAGGACAAAGAAGGACACATTTCAGGACAGTGTGTCTGGCACTACCTTTGTTTGCAATCTTAAGCTCAAAAGGCCAAACTGTATGTGAGGTGTGGGGTGGAAATCTGTGTCTGGAGCTTCTGGATCATTGGGATCACTATTGCATCCATTTTAGTGGAGCGGAGCGGAACTGAGGGGTGCTGTGCAGATCATGTCCCCTCTCTGAACCTGGGATTCTGCACCTCACAGATGGAGTTAGGAGCCTGTGGGGCCCCTGGGCAGCTGTTGCTCATTTCTGGGGTCTGTTGGGGGTGTGTGTGGAGAAGCAGTAGGGGGGATCAGGCCTTGGGAAGTGGGGGAACTGGAAGGTGGGGGTTGTTTCTCAGGTCCTGGTAAGGCTTTATGGGGAGAAGGAGGTCCCGGCTTGCCAAGTTCCAAGGGTACTGATATTTTGTGCCAACTGGTAAATAATTACATTAAATGATGGCCACTTGGGAATGTTTTAACCTTATATATATATATATGCCACAGGACACGCAGATGCACATGTACATATACACACACTCCTGCTACAGACAGGGCTCCAGGAATCCAAGCGTGCCTCTGTCATGTCCCCCAGGCCTCCCCAGGCTTCCCGCAGGCTGCTTCTCCTCCTTGTGTTGAAGGGCAGTGCGCTGTGCCCAGGCACTCCAGATTCTCGTTTCCTGTGTGTTCCTTTATGGTTGGATGCCAGTCCTTCCCCACTTTTTGGGGTCAAAAGCAACTCTGTCCTGAATTCTCACCTTACATACTGCTTTTCCTTGCAGACTTTTGCTTGGTTATCTATGGACTGGAGACTTCGGGGGAGTTGTTGGGCCACACCTGGGCCATGTTGACAAGCTGGCTGGCATTGCTGAGTATTTTCTAGACTTCTGGAACCTTTGCACCCTGATAGGCTGCAGAGCTGGAGTGCTAGCCACTGCTGGCCCTTCGTGATCATTTTAAGTCTGGCCAACCTGCTAGTTCTTAACATGCATTTTTTTATTATTATATTATTTTATTTGTGAACATACTGTACAGAGGGGTTACAATTACATGGGCAGGATAATGTGTACATTTCTTACCAAGCATTGCAGCCTCCTCCTTTTGTTTACCTTTCACATCCCTTCCCAGCCTCCCCCCTCCCCCCTTAACATGCATTTTTGTAAAAAGGAAAAGTTTGCGTTTCTTGCAGCAGCCAGAGCGGTGATTCCAGTTTCCCCACTACCCCCAAGAGGCCCCAGACAGCGTTAGGAGCACAAGGAGGATGAGGCCACAAGGGACAGGTTTGTGCCCTGGCCCTGGTAAACCTGAAGGAGGGGTTTTTCAGAGAGCCTAGTTCAAGCCCTGCAGTTCATCAGACTGTAGCTGGATCCTATGGTTTTAGATATCTTCTCAGGGCTGCAGGAAGGAGCTAGGAGGAAAAGAATGGAAATGCCCAGCTATCTGGCAGAATTGTCTGAAGCACATGAATCAGCAGTCATTAAGGTGATAGGGCAGCCTTGGTCCTATTGGTTGTTCCTCCAACAGAAAACAAACCAAATGGGATGACTGAGCTGGCAGTAAGCGTGACGTTGGGCTATGTCTTTGGCCAGGGGAGGGTGTGAGTAGTTCTTGATTCCTCAGACCAATGTCTGATTGTGCTGGGAGGGCCAAACTGTCCTGGTTAGGAATGGGCAGCAGTATTAGGCTGCAGTGACAATCAGCTTGGGTGCTGGGCAAGGGACTTGAACTTGACTGTGGAAGTCAGAGACATTGTTCATGCTGTCTGAACCCTTCCCTTCTCTGCTCAAGGAAGAAGTCCTATATCCACAGGGAGGGAGAGGCCTTGCCAAGAATCTCTGCTTCCACATTTGGAGAGCTGGGGCCGGCCTAGGAGAAGGTGGAGCTCCCCTCCGGGCTTGGTGATTGGTCAGAAGCAGGGCAGATCAGGTACCATCCATTCTTTCAGCACCTATTTGCTTTTTCACCAACAAATTTTGGGGGAAATGAGGTAGGGATGTAAGGGAGGGCTCGCTCTGTGTCAGGGCCTGGGCAGAGTCAGAGGAAGAACTAGGGTGACCAGGAAGAATGAGACCTAGGGTGCAGACCCATTTATGAAAGTGATTTCATCCAAGACCCCTGCTCTTTCTGCCTTCCCACCCTTCCAGTTGTCTGGGTTGGCTCATAGTCCTAATGTCTCGTGATTTCAAAATGCATTTCCTGCAGCCTTTGAAGCAGGAAGCAAAAGGGTGGATAGCCAGCTCCCCTGCCTCCCCTGTCCCCTGAAGCCCTGTAGCAGTGCTTACTGGTGAAGACCAGGCTCCAGAACTAGCTACTTGGGTATTCGAAGCCTAAGACAGGAGGCAGCTATAGAGAAAGGGGAGGTGAATGGTTAAGACACTGGGGCACTGGACACCACTATGCTTTGCTGTATGGTCAGGGAGCTGGACATGGATCTGCCCAGGAATGACCATAAAGGAGCCTGCTGGGAGCCCAGCAGTCCCCTCCTGGGGACTTTCAGGGACATCTCACAGCTGCCTGGGTTCGTCCCTTCTTCCCCACATGACAGCAGCTGTGTGCACCTCTACCCAGCCAGGCATCTTCAGAATTCTCAGTGGAACCAGTCGAGTTGCTTATTCTTAAGGAGGAAGAAGGTGCATTGTGCGGCTCCAGGGCCCTCGTGGGAGGGTGCTAGAAAGAATCGTTTATAGGATGAAGGTGTAGTTGTGTGATTTAGAAGGGTTCTGTATTGTAGATAATAAATTCTACCCGTGAATATTTCTATCAATCCTACTTAAAGATAAAAAAGATCAGAATGGGGGTAGAGCTGGGCTTGGTAAAGAATCAGCACTC